TCCTAAGGCTGGCTACCCTTGTGGTCATGGGATGATTGCCAGTAGTTGGGGCCTTGTGTATCTTCATTTAAATGCAGCAGAAGAATCTGGCTGGATTCCAGTGGTTCTGTGTTAATATGGAAATTTGGTAGCAAATTTCCCAGAATTTGCTACCAAATCCTTGGGTCTTATTGATGTATAAAGTAGCTTAGATCTGCCCATCCCTGAGCTAGTCATTAGGCAAAGGATATAAAATAACCCTTAGGCTAGTCAGGTCTCCTGGAGCTGGGAATAGAATCGTTTTTGAGGCCTATGAGGTATGGATGGGGCAGAATGGATAATTTTTAAAACCAGGGTTCTGATAGGAAAGGAAAAACAGTGGACAACCATCTAAGTTTTCTACTACATTTGCATGTAATCAGAATCTTTTGAGGCATTTTTTTTGAACACTTATATGCCTAGGCTCCAACTATGTTATATGTTATATTCAGTACATTTGGGATTTGGTATAGTTATCTAATAGACCTTATAAGCTGTTTTGATGTATAATCAGGACTGAGAATCATTGGACTATAGTGATTTGTATTATTAGTTTTGTGATTTATCCAAAACAAATGTTTAATTGATCCTGGTTTTGATCCTGATATGTCAAATCAGCCTCCTTTTAAAATTTTTTTATATAGAAAATAAATCAGTTTTAGTTTATATGTATGGCTAAATATCAACCTAATTAAAGTTTCTCCTACTAAATACATTTTTACCTAGTCTTTTTCTAAATAAATGTTTGTTTGTTTGTTTTCAATGAAAGATCCTAATGTTGTCTTTGAAGACAATGGGCCATTGTGTGTCTTCTATGCTATTCTTTGTTTTGTACCTAGCCATTATGTTGCAATGTCACTGGAACAAGACCAAGTATATTTATTGAACACAAATGTGCCCATCCAAAGCAATCTCTGTGAGTACATCATTTTTGGTGCATTTTAATTAATTTTCTCTATTGAAGATAATCCATTCACTCATGTTTTATGCTGGAGTAGTTTCAGGCATAAAATGCGAATCACAATAAACAAGAAAGGAAAAGTTCTGATTTTCCTAGGCATCTTTTGAAAAACTTACTGAATTAACTAAGATCAACAAAGGTGATAAAAAGTCTCTCAGAAAGGAACTGTTTTAATATACTAGCCAAATCTAATTACCAGATTTTGTCTTTATTTCTAAAACTAAGCAAGGAACTTCTTCAGTGATTCCTGTTGTTTCAGGAAGAAGAAAGACAAAATTCTCTTAGTTTTGTACAGTATTTATAGTCTGCTTTTAATAAACTTTCCTCTTTTTTGAATTTCCCTTTTCTTAACCAATATGAGAATCAGTGCAAAGTATAAATGTGGCAGTAAACCAGTTACAGTTGGCTTACTGAATATTCATTTTATTTTGTTTTGGTTAGTGGGGAAGAAAACTGGGTGAAGTTAAATAACCTCTGAAGATTATTTTCCTCATCTTTAAAATAGAACTAATGCTTCATAAGTTTCTACAAAAAAATATGAGGAGATAGTTAAGAGCAGAAACAGTTGATGGCTAGTGCTAGCTATTCTATTTAATTTTCTTGCTAAGAGGTGTGAGGTAGCTCCTTTTGTAGTATTACATTTGGAAGGCTAGAGATAAACCCTCTGGGAAGTTTTAAAATTATCTCTAAGGTTGTATTTTTTGTTAGGGTCTGTTCATTTTAAAATTGAGATATTTTAATCTTTTTTGCCTTTGGGGTTAAGGCCAAATTAATGAAATATTTCTCAGTATATGTTAAGGATAACCTCACAGGGATTCTAATCAACCCAGATTGTATAAATGCTTGTCCAGATCCACACAGCTGTGATAGAAGATGGGATTAATTTCAGTGGTAGTGACCATATTCTCTCTTCTTAATGTGTAGCATATCTCAAATACTTCTGAATGGATTGGATAGCTTTTCTTTGGCTAGTTTGGGAGCTGGACCTGATGTACAAAGGAATTTTCTTCTCAACAAACCTTCATATATACAAGGATTCAAAATAAAACTAATAAGCAGGCAGACAGCAGAATATAATACAAAAAATGGAACAGTGCAGCTGAAGAATAAAGCAAAGGTATATGTACTGGTGTGGAATTTTCCCAATGTAACGTCATACAAAAGGTGTCAAAATATGCTGCCATTTGTGTAAAATAAGGTGCTGTATGTAAATATTTATATAGGCATGAATTAGCTCTGCAAGACTTTACAAGAAACTAGTGATAGTGGTTGCCTCTGAGAAGAGGCTGAAGAGCCAGTGGCAAGACTGGCAGTTTTGTATTACTTGAATTTTTGTTCATATCATCCGTTCAAAATACATTTTTAAAGCATTATGTATGAAGTGTAATTATTAAATTTTCAAGAACATTAACGATATTTTTCTTGGAACATGAGTACATTTGAATTCTACTTACTCAGTAATTAATTTCAAACATCTTTCATGAGGTATCAAAACAAAACCAACAATGCTTAATTTGTATCTTCATCCTTCTCAAATAGCTACATGAACCTAAGTTCTTAAGAACCTAGTAACAAGGTTTTTCTCTCACCTATAAAAAGTTTTAACAGATATCCAAGATGAATGAATCAGAGTTTAATAACAACAAAGAAAAAAGTATTGGAAGTCAGAAAGCAGGTCTGGATAGAATTGGAACTGTGCTGCATGCGTCCTTCCTCTGGTGCTAACAGATATGGTCAGAAGGAACTAACACAGATAAACAGTCAGGCATACATCTCTAGTGTTGCGTGTCTAGTTTCGAGCATACATGCCATGAGTGCTGGGGCGTCTTAAATATATCCATAAGTGGAAACTAAAATGACCTCCCTAAGGAACTGCCTATTATGCTGGGCCTCTCTGCCCTTGTATAGAGCAACTAGACTTAGAAATTAAGCTATTTATATCTCATCCTCTAAGGCATGTTTTTCTTAAAGACCCTCAAATGAAAATAAAACACACTAGCTTATGACTACTACCTTTTGTTCTATATTTCTCTCTTTATATCCATTCTAGATTTCATCTATTACATATTTCCATAGTAACACACTGGGACTTTGTGCTATATCCTTATGGTCTAGACTCTGTTTGCTCTTGGTGGATGCCCAGACATTGGTGCATGAATGAAATGAGAACTGGATCATACTACATAAATTCTAAGAAACTCTGAAGGAGCTAAAATACAGATACCTGAAATGATGAGCAAAGAAAAGGAAGAACTTAAAAGAGACTTAGTGCTCTAAAAAATGCAACAGAAAAAAAAATGGATAGAATGCAAATTTTTATGGAGTAATTTAAAAAGGAGAATGGTTCTGTTTTTACAGAAAAGATTTTTCAGAGTTGCTCACTCAAAAAATCATGGAGGTTAATGAAAGCATATATAGAAACCAAAACTGGCAAGATAGAGATAAAGCTTCCATTCATTCAAATGATATGAAGTTTTAACAATGTTGACAACATAAAGCCCATCAAAACACACTTCTGTAGATTATTAATTTTAATACAATTATACATTCATGCTGTGGTGGTAACAACTTTCACATTATTTGTAGGACTACTTTTCTCAATTGACTCTTTCATCACAAAGGCACAATCCAAAAGGATATACTAACATTTACAATAACAGTTCTAAATGTGGAGAAAGGACCAATCTAAAGGGTCAAACAAATGTTTGTATATGGATCACCTAGAATATATTTCACTTCTGAAAATATTTTTACTTTTCAATATTGTCTCACTTTGATGTGATAGCAGTTTTAGGTACCCAGTGGGTCATTCTTAATATCTCCTCCATTTGATATAATAACAATTATAATTAAGCATTCATGTGACTGGATAGCTGAATTCAGATTCAAATATTTCATATTTTTAAAATGAATTTGTCTATTAAAAGTCCTATTTTTCCAGTTTAGTTAAGCCTGTGAAAAGAAAAGCCTTTTCTTTGTCCCTTCTTAGCTCATTTCAGTAACTCGGCTATTTTATTAGATACAAGTGAATTTAACAAAAGAATTATTAAATTGAAAAAAGCCACCCAATCATGGTGCTTTAAGGCAGGTAACACATAAAATATTAGAATCTATTCAACTTGTTTCTGTAATAGAAATTTTTGGTCTGGAAAGAAGGTATTTTAAAAATTTAGATACTACTCTTGTACAGTTAATAGAATTATGTTTGTTTTAAAGTATCTGGTTAAGAATCCTTTCTCATGAGTCTCTATTTGGAATGTATTTACAGAGTAATTAAGATGTAATTCTGGGAAGAAATCAATAAATAAACATTTTTGCCTTATATTGTTTAATAAATTTAGGTCCTCTGGGTCATTAAGATAGTCATCTTTAGCATTTTACTTTTTTCAGTCCTAAAGCAGCATGTTACTTCCCTGCTTAGTTATTTCATGACCTGCAAAAGCATTATTAATAAACTATAAAAAAGTGACTGGTCAGCTTTTATAATCACACAGCCATATTCCAATGTTGGTTAAAATTCATTAGATCTTGGTTTCTCAAAATGTATTTATCTAGGTCAAGAAAAACGGGCAGAAGGAAATTTCACCCAAATTATGTAGTAGTGTTAAGCAAATTCAGTTTTTGAGCCAAAATTAAATCATTTGTGTCTTCAAACTTTCCCTTGTAATTTTTCTTATAGCAGTGTAATTTTGCATTTTGGCCAAAGAGAGCTATTTTCTTTTGGCAGACAAAATCATGTTTCTGGAGAAACACTGATTTAGATCTATGGAATCTGTTTCCTTTTCAATAGAGCAGCTGATAGAGTATTATATATTTATTTTACCTAAGTTGATCTCTTTCAAAATACTAATATAATGAAAATTTGAAATCTACTCTGTAGTATATTTTTATCAAATATATATATATATATATATAATTATATTCAACTTAAACCAATTTTCAAAAACAACTGTATTTTGGCCAATATTTAAGAAAGCCCAAAACAGTCAATTAAAAACTGTCAATTAAAAATTAAGCCACAGTGCATAAGTGTAAAGCTTAAAAAATCAGCTTTATGCTATTACACATTCTTGGAGAACTGGAAATATATTTGACTCTCAAGAAAAAAAAAACTTGTTGTACATTAAGAATGAATTCATAAGTTTATAAAACGTAAGAGGCAGGATTGTTACTCCAAAATGATGGAAAACATCAGGGTGCTTTTGCTTTGTCTGAAGAGAAATGAAGTGCTTCCACTCAAGTTTTCAGTGCCAAAATAGCTAACTGCTGTTATAATGTCACCAAATTTAGTTTGAAACATTACTCAAAGAATCAACTATTTCCAACAACAGCAATTTTAGTTGTCATTAACCTTCATTTTTAAGGGTCCTATATTTTCTCATAGAATTATCACAAACCACCTTTTTAGATTTCAAATTAACTAATCTAACCCAATCCAAATTAAAAACTGTTCACAATCACAAGCAAGGAATACTATTGCATATTACACCCATATTTTAGGAATGTGTGCTTCTCCCTAACCCCCAGACTGACAATGCATTTATGAATTGCATCTTACATGTCATTATCTGAATTTACAGCACTCAAAGTGCATATGCTTTTCCTCTAAACAAGTACATTAATATTCTTGTAGTCTCAAAATACCTCATGAACCCTGAAGTGATTCTCTATAGAAGGAGCTTCCTTTGTAAAATGAATTTGACTAGTCACCTGCATACCAAAATCCTCAAGTATCTGAACAAATTTCTTATGCTCCTTTCCAATCCAAGATCTCATTGGATCACGTACTTGGTAAGGTGTTACGTGGGTATGAACAATAATCCCTGTTTGTGCAAATTCTTTCAAGACTTCTGGATATGTAACCCATGTATTGCTTCCTCCAGAATGACCACCATCCAGCCAATACATCGTTCTTATGCTTTTGATGAAACCATCTATGTTCTTGTCTTTCTTGGCTTCTTTCAATTCAAAAAGCAACTGATTCAAAACAACACAACCTTTACTGAATCCAATCAAAGTAAAAGATGCACCATTCAGTGATGGTGGATTAAAACTCGGGGCAGACTCATCAGATTTTTCACAGGTCCTCTCTTTTTCTCCCTGGCAACCATTACTAGTAGTAGGAGAAGAATTAGATCTACAGTTAGATGTTTTGGAGTCCTTATTCCAAACATTGCCATTCTTCGATAGCAAACCATTCTGACTTAAGTTAAAAGCATTAACCAATAACATATAAAGGTGCTTAAAAGCTCCAAAGTCAGTACTGTGTTCTGGGGCACCAAACATGTTGCTTTTCACAAAATTGTCATAGCAGCTGAATTTGTGCAAATGCATTCGGGAACACTTTATCACCCAAATATAACTATTGGGGAACCGGTGGGCTAAAATGGTGGCAACGTTTTCTAGACTCCAGTTTTCCCACTGGTAATTCTCAGGATGACGAGTCATAATTTCATGGTAATTCTGAAAAGTAAGAAAGATGAAATAAGCATTAAATATATATTGACATAAAATTATTTCCACAAAATAGTTTCCCATCTTTGTGGAGGAAATAAAGAGGTTACAATGACCTATGGCTAATGTTCTAGAAATGAAAACAATTTGTCTTTACTTTTCTGATTATAAGATTTTGAAAAAAATAAGTCTCAAATCTATTTAAGAGAAAGGGTAATTGAATAGTAATTTTAAAAAATAACTGAGAAGGATATGTTTACTACATTTTATTTAGTATACATATGATCCAATTTCCTAATAAATGAACTGAAAATATAAATTTGGTTCATTACACAGACTTTTTGTATGTGAATACCCAAATTTAAATGAACTGAAACTACAATTAAGAGTTTAGTTTCTTTTCAATTTCAAGTGGTTAATAGCCACAAGTGATTAGAAAGGGGTAAATGCTAATACTAAGTGGCTAGTGGCTATCATACTGGACAAGACATATTAAATGGTGGTAAGTGCAACAGAAATGAAAGTAGAGGAATAGGAGGGTAGAAAATCAATATTTAACACAGAATGATCAGGAGCTGCTTCTCCAATAAGATGACTGTTAAGAAAGAATTGAGGGAATGTGCCCCATGCATAGTTCAGGCAGAGGGAAGTACAGCTGCAAAAGGCCATCTGGTAAAGACATGTGGGATAAAAGCAAGACAAAGCCATGAGGCCATTGTGGCTCTAGTAAACAGGAGCAAAAGTGATCACAAGGAAGGCACAAAGATGTGAGGACTTGGCATCTGCTCTGAAAGGTTTTGGAGCAGTGGACTGATTCAGTCTATATTTTGAAAGATTTACTCTGCCTCCTCTGTGTAAAGGGGCAAGAGCTGAAGGAGGGAGACAGAGAATCCCCATGAGAAGGTGGTTTGAAATAGAGTGGTAGTAGATACAGAGGTGCTGAGAAATGTTCAGACTGTGAATTATTTTAAAAGTGGAATCAATAGGATTTGCTAAGGGACTGAATATACAATTTATGGGAAAGAAATAAGATAAATAGTACTGCAATGCTACCATTTTTGTTTTCTAAAAAAATGCAAAAAACATCTCTGGAAGGAGAGAGATTTAAAAGTAAGAGTGGTAGCCCTGGGGAAGAGAAATGGGAGACTAGAGGGACCCTCCATCCATACCCATCCTTAATGCTAATGTTTATCTGCATTAATATTTTAAAAATCTTTGCTACTATGATAAAAATGATGTCTTAGTTTTGATTAAATTTGCATGTTTTGATTCCTAATTGGGGTTTTGTTTATTAGCAATTTTCATTTGTTAATTCTCTATTCATGTCCTTTGATACTTTTCCCACTGGTATGCTCAACTCCTTCATAATAGTTTTATTCCATTAATATCAGTAGTTTTCCATATATATGTGTGTGTGTGTATATATATATATATATTTTTTTTTCCATTAAAAAGAATTTACTGAAGAATATTCCATTGTGTATGTATACCCCATTTTCTTTATCCATTCATCTACTGAAGGGCATGTAGGTTGGTTCCACAGTTTAGCTATTGTGAATTGAGCTGCTATAAACATTGATGTGGCTTCGTCACTGCAGTATGTTGTTTTTAAGTCCTTTGGATATAGACTGAGGAGTGGGATAGCCTGGTCAAATGGTGGTTCCATTCCCAGTTTTCTAAGGAATCTTCCATATATATTTTAAAAATTTATTCTCAGAAGATTGTATCATTTGACTTTTCTATGAATTTTGCTCTTACCTTCTGTATATTCATATTTATGATATACACAATTATCATAAAATCATAGGCATTTAGATCTGAAAAGGCTTATCTAAATTCTTTTTATAGTTAAGGAATCTGATGTCCTAGGAACTATACAGTTACTATATTTATTACATATTTATTTAATGAACCAAAATGAACCCAGATTTTATGACTGTCACTTTAGATTCTACCACATAGAAGGTACTATAAATTGAAATGGTGTCTCCCTGGATTAGCCCCAGGTTATATGATTAGAAAGGGGTAAATGCTAATACTAAGGAACTATGTGTACTAAAATGAAAAGAATGGGATTGTTACTGTCAAACCCCAGATCTAAGAACAATGGATAAGTTCTTCCATATTCTGAAAAGAGGCACCAGGCATTCCTATAGGACTTGCTAACAGACAGCCAAAATTGCTTCTGCAGCCCAGGCTATTACCTATTGCCAACCTGCATACAGAGAAGGGCTTTCTTTGGAGAGGATATTCATCCTAGTTGGGAATGTGATGCACTTACTATCCTTGTAGGAGTAAACCATGAAGGCCATGCTTCTCCTCATCCCCAGTGAGGCAGGCAACGAGAGAACCTCTGGATATAGACTGAGGAGTGGGATAGCCTGGTCAAATGGTGGTTGCATTCCCAGTTTTCTAAGGAATCTTCCATATATATTTTAAAAATTTATTCTCAGAAGATTGTATCATTTGACTTTTCTATGAATTTTGCTCTTACCTTCTGTATATTCAGATTTATGATATACACAATTATCACAAAATCATAGGCACTTTGCTACTATGATAAAAATAATGTCTGGGAGATCTCTGGGAGAGATTAAGAGGTGCTTACTCCAGTTAGATGCTTGCTGACTTGCAAAGACTTACAGAACCACCACATCACTGCCATTGAATTAAGAGTTAAAGGATTTTCTGAAAAACTTGAACATGTCTCTGAGAGTCCAGAAACCTTCATAAAGATTTAAACTGGGTGGTCTACCCTTACAGCAGAGTGAGGAGAACTACCTTAAGGTATAAGCTACAATTCCATCAAAAATGCATCAAGAGAGCATTTTTGCTGGCATAAAGTGCACATCCCAAGTAAGCAAGCTAGAGTGACCAGAACAGGATCCAACCTAAAAGGGCTGCCTGATAGAGCACAGAAAGCACCAGGGTACATGGCTAGGGCACACTGCTTAGGACATGGACATCTACATATCCTACTCTTTAGCAAAGCAAAATTTTTAAAGTTAAAATTGGAATTTATCCAGTTATGAAAGGATTAACAAGTCATATATCCATACATAGTAATAGTCTGGATTTGTAGATGGATTAGAAAATGAGGTATGAAAGAAAGATCTAAAGGATGACTTGAGCAACTGAAAAGGTAATTTCCAACTAGAATAAGGAAGATTGTACTGAGGTAAATATCCAGTGATTTTAGTTTGAGATATCTATTAAATACCCAAAAGGAAATAACTGCATGCAATTGGCAAGCTTAAAGTTCAGGAATATGTTTAGGCCAGATACACAAATGTCAAGGGTTGTCTTGGTGTAGGTGATAAGTAAGAACACAAGACTGAGAGATCACTAGGGGAGTGAAGATAGAGGAAAAAGTACAAGAATGAAACACTAGGGTATTCAAATAATTTTAAAAGTGCCCAGAAGGATGAGAAGGGACTGGAACTTATTAGGTAATAACATATTTAATCTCCATTAACTCTATAAACTATTACTCTCATTTTATAGCTGAAGTAGCTGAAATATTGAGAGATTTAAGAATTGCCAGAGATTTCATAGCTAAAATATAGAGAATTTGGGTTCAAATCTAGGCAATTTGACCTCAAAGCCTATTTCTCTTCTAGAAGACCTAATGTTTGTACAATACTCCATGCAATGCACAAACTAAGTGTATCACTATACAAAAATCTAATGGAATCTGAGACTACATAAAGAAAAGATGTTCAGATGAAACTACCTGTAGAACTCTTTAAAACTCATCTGAAGACTTATATTCTCTCTGGTACCCTTTAAAAACAAGAAATGCTTAATAAACATTAATTATCATTCCCATTATCATCATTGCTATAGGCATGCCTGCAGTAGCTGGTCACAAATCTCTGGAAATCAGTGTCAGAAATACCAAATGCTGTTTTCCCAACCAGACTACAAAGGAATCAAATTGTAAATTTTCTCATAAATCTAAATACTAGTTTTTCATAGGCCAGATACACAAATGTCAAGGGTTGTCTTGGTGTAGGTAATAAGTAAGAACACAAGACTGAGAGATCATTAGGGGAGTGAAGATAGAGGAGAAAATACAATGTATGCAACTGGCAAGCCTAAAGTTCAGGAATATGTTTAGTCAACCAAACGAGTCCCTTATTTTGAGGGCAAGGGAAAACACTACATATATTTTACCGTTATTTGACTCATGGGTGGAAGTTAAATATATTGTGTTAAAGCATCAATTTCAAAAACAAGAATATTGTTTCATGGCATAAAAAACCCATCTAGCTATATTTTAGCTTTACCTGTCTACTAGTGCTAACAGAACTTTATGTGATGATAGAAAGTTTCATATTCTATGGAAATAGTGCCTATCTGCACTGTCCAATACAGTACACACCTGCCACCTCTAGTAACTGAGCACTTGCAGTGCATCTAGGATGACTGACAAACTGGATTTTTACTTAATAATTTTACTTAATTACAGCTAATGTGTTAGACAGTGCAGTTCTGGATTAACACCCAGCTTCCAAGACAGCATAACCATGAATATTTGCCTGCAGCTATCGAAGTAATAATAAAGACAAGCCTGCAGCTATAAAATTAATAATAAACATAAAAAACAAAAAGAAAATTTAGGTGAACATCAAAATATGGACATACTTAGCAATTACTGTCCCTTTTCTTCCACCATCATCCAACATTTTTAGGATTATTGTGTCATGCCTTTGTAATGGGTTTTTTGTTTGCCTGTTTTAAAATTGCCATCAGCGTTTCCTAAACACTATGTTCTGGTGCTGAGTTAATCTAAAAGCCATCTCTCTGTCCCCTGCCTAACACACATACACACTCACACACCACAGTGTTTTCTAAGAAACCAAGTTAAAAATGAGCATACATTACACGTCTCATTCCCTGTACATCTCAAATTCCACCCTGTGATGCCTGGATTGACAGCTGGCTCTTTAGCAATGGTCCCTCCAAGGACAATTCCCCCTGGGTTTCCATGGGAAAGGGGTCAGGGGTGTAGAAGGGACGATTTGGGATTTCATGAAATAACGGAAGCATGAGCCCAACTGTGGGTGTGTTCAGGAAGGGAAGAAACCGGGCAACAGCCACAAGAGAACCCAGTGAATCCATAGGGGGAAACAGGTGCCTAGGCCCCAATTACCTGTACATCCCCGGGAAAATAGAGGACGTGATGCTGGGGCGGCGGTTGCGGTTCCTCCTTTGCCGGGTCCCTAGGGAGGTCCTGCCGTTCTGATCCCTCTCTCACTGCCGTCAGCAGGAGCACCTCGTTAGTGCGCTGCGGGTCGGCTCCTGGCACAGTGGACAACTGCAGGCACTGCTGGCGGCGTCCCTCGACCGCGGAGGAGCATCGTGCACCACTGCTGCCGCCCGGGTTCATGGTTCTGGCCTGCAGGCAGGACAAGGCGTCTCCGATTCCGAGCTGCGGCAGCAGGAGGAGCAGCGGCGGGGACCGCAGGAACCTGAACCCCCACATGGGTCGCCGCCACTAGAGCGGTTCCGAGGTGGGGGTGATCTGGGGGCGGGACTTCGGCAAGCAGCCCAACGGCCAGCGGGAGTGGCCGAGGAGGTAGCCGGCGCCGGACGACAATGACGTCAGGGGCTGATATCAGCGCGCAGCGTGCGTAAGGAAAGGAGGGGTGTGCGCGAACCTGAGCTCGAGTTCTGGAGGGGGGTGATGGCAGGGCGGGGCCGGAGGGGGAACGTTTGTGATTGGTGAAGTGAGTCGCAACCGGGAAGTTCGAATGGAAGACTGGGAAAGAGCCTGAGAAGAGTGAAGGCGCGAGAAAAGAACCAAGCGCCCTAAGCCAGAGTGGGCGGCAGTTATGGCGCCTGCGCAACAGCTGGGTGGGCCTTTTAATCCGGTAGTACGTAAAGTTTTGAGTACAGCGTGCTTCCCGTTTCAATAGGTTCACTATTCAGGTGAGATTTATCTAGTCGTTGAACCTTAAGAGGAAAGCAGCCCAAAGGCATAAGTAGAGTAATTCAGCCGCGAGAAGAGAAAAAAGTGAAAGTCTTTTTCGTGGCCTGCATGAAGGGAATCTCTTATCTCGTACCTTGAGTTTCCATTAGTTAGATGTACAAAGATTTCAAGTTTCATGGGGAATTTGTGGTTAGAGAAGTCTAGCGCATCGCTGGTTGGTATCAGGGTGCAGGGCACGTGGCCAAGAACGGGAAAGAGCAGACAAGGCATTACTTTTTGGCACATTTCTTGTGGGTGATGTTTGCAACTAATGGAATTTGATATTTTAGTATTTTCAAAAAAAAAAAAAAAAACAACAACAACAATTTGAACAGTGTAGGAAAAATGTGGGTGACCAGTTATCTTATGGCCAGTTCTGCAGGAATAGAATTTAGCAAAATTTGTTAGACAGGGAAGGAAGACGTGGGCGGATCCAGTATTCTAACTTGCTTGTGAGGCAAGGCACTGTAAAGAAGTCTCTGAGAGAATTAGTGAAAATTATAAAAATTAGAGCCAACATTTACTGAGGGTTTACTATAGTCAAAGAATCTAAGCATTTTGTGTATAACTGAGTCAACATATGTGTATACTTAAGCACGCATAACTGTTTTCTGTGTTCCATTTATAAAACGAATATTAAATAGCTTGAAGTAGGGACACAGTGAACAAATAATAAAACCTAACTTCTTTATATAGTTACTTCGTGGTTGCATAGAGGTGTAATATGCCTGTCTACTCCTATCTAAATTATTGAAGTCCACCTGACACCATAACAATATAATAAATAAATTATTCAATTACTAAATCTGCTTTTTAAAAATAATTGGTTAAAAAGAAGTAGCAGTTAATTGTACAATTAGTATATAACCACATTAAGGCAACCAGCCTTCATTCTTGTTTTGAAAATTGCATGCAAATTACTTCCCTCTCATTAAGGAGAGAATCGCTAAAATATAATCTGAAAGTCCAAACATGGCCATGCATTGCTAATGCAACTTTTCTCTTGATTTTGAGGTCTTATTTTTCCATTGAACTTTTTAATAAAATCTCTCCTTATTGAAGGGGAGGGGAACTCTTGTGTTTGGAAAGAAAATTAATTGCAATAAATATTAAATACTAAAAAGTTTTCTCAGTATATGTAAGACAATTGAGGCCATTGAGAAACAAGTAAAAATTTAAAAAGCAGAGTAAAGAAACAGAGGGGCTGGGATTGTGGCTGAGTGGTAGAATGCTCATCTAGCACGTGCAAGACCCTCAGCACCACATAAAAATAAATAAATAAAATAAAGGTATTATGTCCAACTACTTCTAAAGAAATAAATGTTTTTCTTTTTACAAAAGAAATAGATTGAAATAAAACAAGGTTTTTCCCACAAAGATTTATACAATCCTACAGGAGATATTTCTCAGAGAAACTAACACCTATCTCAATCATTTTGAGGTATATATGTTATTTATGGTAAGTCATTGACACTCAGTTCCTTTTTATAGGTCTCCTTGATATTACTATACTTTTTGCTTTCTCTCTCCCTCCTCTCTGTCTTCCAAGAGACCAATTTTTGTTGATCTCTACTTTTCTAACAACCCTGAGCACAGATGGACCATCACTTTCCCACTTTTATTGTCTCTCAAAGCTAGGCTTTTCAAAGCCGCAAGAGGTCTTAACATGTACAAAGTTACTATAACCAGTTTGTGAATTTTCCCCTTTTTTCTAGCTGGTAGGGATCTAGGAATGTTGTTAGTTATAGTGCCCAAAAGGCTACAGCTCATCTCTGTCCTCTTGTCATTTCTCAAAGGATCCTATAGAGCTCTAAGAACTTTTATTTTGCCTTTTAATATAAAAGAGGAAAAAAAATTGCAAAAATTTGGAAGGAAGCTGAAAAAGACTAATATACATTGGAAAGGACACCTATTAAAAGCACAAAATTCCATATTTACAGAAGTCAGGTCTATATTATAAAAGGTAAAAATAGCCATGTGTAGTATAGAGCCAATGGGCAATAGTAGAAGGCAAAAAATCCAGTATTTACAGAATTCAGGTTTTTACCACAAATAGTAAAAATAGCCATATGTAGTACAATAGAAATTTATAAAAATTGACAAAGTGATATGTCATATTTGAAAAAGTCACTATTCACTAATACCATTTGTGAAATGAAGGCAGCACTTTCCAACCCTTTAAATTTTTTTCAAGAGAAATCAGATACAGAGATTTTTATGTGTCATTTGCCAACTTATAAATGTAGACAACTAATTAAATTTGTTTATTAAATGTATCCAATTAAATGTATGCATAGGTAAGATTTGTCCTACAGGGTACAAATGTACAAGTTCTCTTCTAAAAGATAAAATGAATGGATACAGGAAAGCAGAGAATTGGGGGTGGGGGAGACAAGACAAAAGTCCTTATATGTGGTTTCCTATAAAAAAATTACTAGGGAAGAAAATGAAAGAAAAAAGGATTTCAAATTCTTTTATGGTGTTTGACTTGGATCCCATTTGATTTTCTTGTGGACATTCCACCAAGTATTTTAATTCTTTTCAATTCTTGGTTTTAAACAGGTATTTGGGACTCATTGTGTGTGTGTGTGTGTGTGTGTGTGTGTGTGTGTGTTTTAATAACCCTCTGTGCTAAAACTAGACCTTGAGAGTAACAGGCTTCAAATGAGGTATATGACTCTAATATATAATTTTGCCCCAAAATGCTTAATTAAAAAAATTAGACAATAAATAAAGCCATTTGGCAATTTAAAGTCTTAATTTGAGAGACTAGTTTCACTGAGATCTTTCTGCCATTCTATCAAGGCCTTATAGATTATCTTTAACATTCAGTGAATCCTCAGATGCAATGATTAGCTAACAATACTTGCATACACTGTACTTTACTTACTGTTAAAGCGTAAGAGAATATTAATTAAAGATGCAATCCTTAACAAAATACTAGGCTAGCCTAATCCAGCAACATATAAAAATAATTACTCTCACAAAGTGAGATTTATCCCAAGAATGCAACGTTGATTTTACACCTGAAAATCAAATAACATTATTGTTATGGTTTGGATGTAAGGTGTCCCCTGAAAGCTCACATGTGACACAATGCAAGAACATGTGGAGGAGAAATGATTGGGTTATAGCCTTAGCACCTAATCAGTGAGTTAATCCCTGATGGGATTAACTGAAGTGGGAGGGTGTGGCTGGAGGGGGTGGAAATTGGGGCGTGACTTTGGGTATATATTTGTATCTGGAGAGTAGAGTTTTTCTCTCTGCTTCCTGGTCACCATGATGTGAGCTGCTTCTCTCTGCCACACTGTCCTGTCGTGATGTTCATCTCACCTGAACCCTGAGAAATGGAGCCAGCCTTCTATGGACTAAGACCTCCAAAAGGGTGAGCCCTTAATAAACTTTTCCTCCTCTATAGTTTTCTGGTCATATCCTTTAGTCACAGCAGCGAACAAGCTTACTAAGACAATTATATACTATATTAATAGCATAAAAGCTAAAAGTGACATAAATCATCTTAATAGACACAGGAGAAGCATTTGACAAAATGCAGCACCTTTATATGTAAAAAGAAAAAAAAAAACTAGGAATGAAAGGGAACTTCCTTAAGCTAGGTATGGTGACATATAACTGTAATTCCAGCTACTGTGGAGGTTGAGGCAGGAGGATCACAGTTTGAGACCAGCCCAGGCAATTTAGTTAGACCTTGTTTCAAAATAAAAAAAAAAATAAAAGGGTTGGGGTATAGTTCAGTAATAAAACTCTTGCCTAGCAACCTGGGTTTAATCTCAAGTACTGGGGGTGGGGAAAGGGGGAGGGTTCTTCAACCTAATAAATGGTACTATGAAAAACTCACAACTAACATTATGTTTAACAATTGAAAGGCTGAATGTATCCCTAAGAACAAGAACAAGGTAAAGATGTCTACTCTTGCTATTTCTAATTGGCATTGTAATCGAAGTTCTAGCCAGAGAAATTAGGAAAGAAAAACAAATAAAAAACATTCAGAAAAAAGTAAAACCATGCAAATAACATGATATTTAGAATATCCTAAGGAATCCACTAAAAAGACTTTCATAAAAGTGAGTTCTGCAAGGTTGCAGGATACAAATCAATTTATAACAATTGTATTTCTACACACTTGCAATGAGTAATCCAAAAATAAATTAAGAAAATTTCATTTATAATAGCATAAAATACTTAGAAATAATTTAAGGAAAGAATTACAGAACTTAAATACTGAAAGTTACAAAACATTTTTCTGAGAAATTAAAGAAAACCTAAATAAATGGAAAGACATCCTATGTTCATGGATTGGAAGACCTAATGTTTTTATGATGCATTTCTCTCCAAATTGATCTGCAGATTGAAAACAATTCATATGAAAATTTCAGCTGCTGTGTTTTACAAAAATATTCAAGCTGATCCTAAGATGCATATGAAAACGCAAGGGGCCCAGAATACAAAACAATCTTGAAAAAGATGATAACAGTTGGAGAATTCATACATCACCATTTCAGAATTAACTACAAACTGTAGTAATCAAGACAGTGTAT